TTGTACAGATATAGACACATGTGTATCAATCCAATCTTGTACAAACAACTTGTTGGGGATGTACGTGTGATACAAGATCATTTTAAAATGAATAATGTATCTTTTTCACCTTGTAATGTCAGATAGGGAGATAGTTTATCTGAAATGAAATCAGGACTTGATTATGAGGTCATGGTGACCTTGATGGTAGTGGAGTTTTGAACCAGATCATGACGTCAATAGGAAGCAAGTGTAGTGTCACTTCATGTCGTTAAACCAACATTTCACATCCATATCTCAACACACCATTAACCATAACAATCACATGCTAACTTTCTTGATAAGCGTAACTGTAAATATGAACAAAAAGTTTCTCAGAAATCTATGAAAATAATGTTGCTGAGGGTTTTGTCCGTGAAAACAACATCAAAGAATCCAAATACCAGAGCCATCGTTCAACAAGGGCATTGCCTTGGTTTTTTGCAAAGAACGATTTCATCAGTAGGGAAGCAATTTAGAAGATTTACAACCTGAGTGATCCAGGAAAAAGTCCTGGCTTCCAGCAAGGACAATTACATCAACCACACATGATACATGATGAAAACGTCAATCCGAGCTCAACTCCTGGCTCTCCTGCCTGGAATGAAAACAATGGCTTCTGCAGTGCCCCTGCTCATTTAACTAATGATCCTGACAGTACTACCCCGAAATCATATTACAGAAAGAAAATCAAATTTCTCATTTTGTTAATTAAATATAATGGTATATTTGTTCAAAAGGAGATTTTGCGGCACATGAATAATGTGATATTTTTCTTAGTTTGGTTGTCATGTTTCTGTGGTTTAGCTCCCCTGTCTGTGGTCTGCAAGGGTTAATCAAATTCTTCAAATGCTGAAACATCTTACTCCGCTCGTTAGGATATTTTGCAGGATCTCACAAAAGCCAGGCATTGTGTTAGGAATAATATCAGCAAGCGTTACTGTGTTGCATGTGACAGACAGGCATTAATTAATGGATTCTACATCAATAGCATCATGGCTAGACCAGGTGGAGGGATATTCTGGCGCTAATGTTTTCATATTGCCGTAGTTACTTGTTGACAAGGTTACCAGCATTCCTGATATGTGCTGGGAATGTAATTTCCTGTTGGTGTGACATTTCGTCTGGGAGGAGAAGCAGGTCAGCCCAGGTAGTTTCAGTACTCATGAACTCAGGAAAACGTTCAAAACGTTTGGTAGGACATATCCAAGTTTCATACCTCAGTGACAAAAATGTCTGATGCAATTCCCTATTTTGACTTGAACTACATGTTCCCATGTTTTTTAGGTGAACATTATTGACTTGCCTTTGCATGTGTTTATGATGGGTGCCACCAGGGCAGGATGTGCTCTCCTTTTTGCAAACACCTGGTATCATCACTATTTGATAGTGATTCATAAGCACGTGTTTATGATATAGTCAGAAATGTACAGTGGACTTTTAGTAGAGATTTCTTATGATTATAGAAGGGCACGGGTGGCCCAGTCATCTAAGGCACTGCGATTTGCTGTGCAGAGTTGTGTCCCCCCTGGTAAGCCAGAAACCTATGACTGTGGGTTCGAATCCTGGGCCCACTTGCACAAAGCGATCTTAGTGCTACAACTATTGTAAGCCTATGTTAAAGTATGGGAGTTACGATCATCTTAGCGCAAAGATCGCTTTGTGCAAGTGGGCCCTGGTTAGCCCCGATTATGTTTCTAGGAGACCTGCATCACTGTGGGCTTTCCTCCCACATTAAGCTGACACGCCGGGATATAACTGGAATAATGTTAAAAGCGGCGTTACTCACTCACTCACTCACTCACTCACTCACTCTGAAATGTTTTTGTCCCTTTGTATATATCTAAAGTTTCGCTTCTTTTTGGAAAAACTGAAGTCTGCTGGTATGTTTTTGTGTCCACAGTGCAACTTCAACTGTGTCTGGATTTCTTAAACAACGTCTTAATTAGTCCAACTATTACAAGTAAAGCTGCCGCCAAAATTAGAATAAAATCCAAATTGTCAAAGATGCAACTTCTATGACCAATGGCTAGAGATAACACTTGAATTTCTTTGATTAATGCTTCAGCCATATGTGGCTAAAATCTTTAAAAAGTTAGATACTATATTTTGTACAAAACTGTTAACACAGTGAGTGATTTCCTGAATGCCTTGTAGTGAACTCTAGTTAATCAGCCAGCCATGTGCAGTTGTGTGCACTTTAATCTGCTTCTCTTTGTCGTTTGGACCCCAGTCATCTCGATTTTAAAAATGTCTATCTCAGGAAAAGTTAAGTACAGACCACAAGCCCTCTGTAATAGGCCTCTGTCACCATGATGAATATAGATATTTTTATTGCACTAAAGTTTGAAAAAAAATTTCACTTGTATTAAAAGTTGTTAGATTTCTTTCCTAGTTTTCTGGAGTTGATAGCTGCAGGAAGCACCTGTGTGGAAAGTTTTAATCCTTGTGTTCTCATTGTTATTATTACAGGAGCAGTGTCATTAAGTTCTTCTTTCCATTTCGGTATTAGATAATGTGAAATATTGATTTTGTGTTTATTTATGAAGAAACCTGTATTTTCTGGAAAATTGACATGATCAATAAATTAGATCTCTTAACCAATCAGATCACCCCTTGACAAGTTATTTTTACCCTCCTCAGGTCATTATCCTAAATAAGTACTTTCATCATAAAGTGACTTTTTAAATGTCAGTTTAGTGGAAATATATGTCATCTAAAAGTAATAATCTTAAACTAAATTATTATATTTGTCTGTTCCCCCAGTTTCTTCTGGAGAAGAGGGATGGTGGGGTAGTCTAGTGGTTAAAGCGTTCGCCCGTCACGTACATTGTGTGAAGCACATTTCTGGTGTGCCCTGCTGTGATATTGCTGGAATATTGCTAAAAGCGGCGTAAAACCATACTCACTCACTCACTCTGGAGTAGAGAGATACAAAGAGATGCGTGTACACCATGCAACAAAAACCTAATGCCTGAAAATGGTTTTACTTAATAACTGATAAGATGTATTGTATAATCTCTTACCACTCCAAACATCATGAAAGAATCCTGTAAACATTGGTCAAGCATTTATTTTGCAATATATGAATTCATTCCATAATCATAACAAACCTCTGCTGATAGTTTTAGCACAGTACTTTTCCGACGATACCATGATCATGTGTTTTTGAATCACTATCAAATAGTGATGATGCTAGGTGTTTATGAAAAACGTTTCCCATCAATAAGAACTCTTTTGACTCGTACATGTGTACTTGTGAGTTATGCCACAACCTATTTAATATTATATTTGTTTATGTGAAATTAATATTCTGTAGTCTTGACTTCCCTATAAACAGATAAGGCTATGATATGTGAGTGAGTTTGCATTAACGCCACTTTTAACAGTGCGTCAGATATTTCACAGCATGTCAGCTTGGTGTTGTTGGAACGCCTGAAAGTGTTAGATGTTTGCAATGTTTTGTAATACAAGCGACAAAATTCTTTCCATATTCATAAGAATTCGCAATTGTATTATTCTGACTATATCATAAGCATGTGTTTATGAATCACTATCAAATGGTGATGATACCAGGTGTTCGCAAAAAGGTCAATGTTATAATTCTGGTGGCATCCATCACAAACACATGCAAAGGCAAGTCAATGGTTCACCTAAAGAAACACAGGAAAGTCACAAACACAGGTATGGTTCTGACAAACCAGGAAATGATCAGGATGAACTTGGATTCAAACCCACAATCATGATGTCAGGTTCAACTCCTCTAATGTTAAGTTGCAGGAATAATTAATACTTATAGTAGGAAATACTCAGGTCCATCAGCCAACACTATTTACTTGTAAAAAAGAGTTCACAATTTGTATGTCAGCATGCAATAATAATTTAAATGGAGAATAATTCAATCCTGAGGAAACAAATCATGAAATATCTGCTACAGTCAATTTGTGTCAGTTATCGTTGATTTGATGTAATTCTATTTGCACCATGAACACACAAATAGCTTTCTCTACTGGATGTCGTAAGATTTCGGTGTGAATCAGTTCAGGAAGATTTCTGCTCTGAAAAGAAAATCATGTAACATTTTGAAAATTATGCAAGCTAGGCACTAAGCAAGAAAACCGATATTAAACATTCCAGAATGAAATGCATGGCATTAAGAAGTTCAGAGTTAAACATTATTATCCTATCAAATAATATTGGTTTATCATGTTTATATCGGTTTCTTTATCTGCAATTAGTTTACAAGATTGATGGCTCCAGGAACAGAAAGTGTATTGTGGTGTGTTTGCTGGTGTTATAACTGGGCAGTCATCATGTAAATACTTCATTGTATAGATGACGTGATACGGTAAACTCTTCAGTCTGTCTCCTAGACTAACATCTAGTCTCTGCAGAAATCTAGACTTGCATGGGCTGTATTTGATATATTTGTATCAGGGTCTTTAAGACAGACTATCTGTCTCCCAGACCTTAGAGAGTAAATTGAAAAATGAATCCATCTCAAGTGGGGGGGATGATAAAGTGACTGTTAATCTTCTTGTGCAACTTGGGTTGTATACTCCCCAGGGAGCTGAAAATGAAAGTTGAGTGCATACGGATCCATTGACCAGGGTAGTAATGGTGCGCTATCATCTGTAAATCAATGGACACATGTTTGCACAGTGTAATCCTCCCTATGTCGCCTGGACCTATGTATTGTGAGGAACGGTTGTGTCATCATGCATTAATATGCATATGATTAAGTGCTCTAAACAAAATTGTCTCTAAGGGATTGATCATTTGATATCCTGGGAAGGTGGTGGGTAGGGGGAGGGTACGGATGTTATTGAAAAAAATAAATTGTCCACGAAAATTCTTGAAAAAAATATATTAATGCCTCTAACTATTGAAAAATATCAACTGTTATTGTGATGGAGAGAAAATGCAGAGAAGATTTCAGTGATATCCTACATTGAATCTAACAACTGCAGTTTACCTTTCAGGCAACGAGAATGTGGATCTGGGGGAAAAGTTCACGATAGATGACTTCTTTGACCCATCTTTCAAACCAAAAACCTTTGCGGCACACTGGCAAAATGGTAAGTAGTATGCTACTATATGTATTAATGGTGTTTAATGTTGTCTGATAGCGTACACCTAAAGTCTCAACAAGGTCCACAATATAAGCAATTCAGCTGGTCTACTCAGCGGTCAACCATTGATTTGCTGTCTCTACGCTGGGCAAGGAATGACAAGAATTTATATATGTACGTAAGCATCAAATATCACATAATACCATTGCTATATCTAAAGGTCACTGCTGGTTTGAATCCCTCCTGGGACCTTAGAAATAAATTATATTACAAGCTTGACTCCTGGGAGTCTCAAGGGCTTTGACCCTGCCCCACACTGAAACACAGTTTATCTAGTATGTGCTACAGGTCTCCAGAGGCAAATTAGGTGCTTTTTTGTCAAAATTTGCTCTGTTCAGTCAGCAGTAAATGGGTACCCGGTAGCAGGAGTATAATATGTAAATGCAAAGAAACTTCTGATGTTATATCACTGAAACTTTGCAAGATTATCAAGACCGAGCTATAAAATTGATGCTGTAAGTTCATTTTTCACAGTTACAACCCTTGATCATGGTATTTTATTTTGTGCATAGTGTCTGCACTGGGGACAAATTTTGTGTGGATTAATTTCACATTTAAAATTTTTTTCTGATGACATAAGGAGACCCATGTGGTTAATTCTTCTATAAGGATTATCATCATCATCATCATCATCATCATCATCATCATTGTTATTATTATTATTATTGTTGTTGTTGTTGATCATTATTGCACCTATCCTCTTTGATAGCTAGGTCATAGCAACAAGAATGGGTCAGGCGCACTTCTTCAAGTGATATGTTTTGTTGGGACTGCACTCCTGCTTACAGATTTATTTATTTAAAAAATACATCCACATAAATACATACACCCACGCTATGTTTGTGTTTAGGACTGTAAATGGAAATTCAAGAGCATCACACCAAAGCTATTCTGACCATATATTGATCTGGGGCTTAGCAGAGGGTTTACATGGCACATGCATAATCATAAAGTTGCAAATCTGACTGAGAGTAACATCCATCTCCTTTACCTTCTCAACTCCCCGGGGATCATGCAAATGTCATAAAACTAATCTTGTGCTGACTTACAGATGAGACGAGCCAAATGTCCACATGTACATCACCAGTCACATCAGAGAGTGCCCTCAAAGCACAAATGTTCAAAGTGTCAGGGAACATTATTAAAGCCGATTTTTGTTTCATCTCCCAGAATGTGAAGTTGATTAAACTAGGGTCACACCATTCGCAATTGTTTGAGGGGGACAGGAGATGATGGCAGGTGCCACAGTTCCTGCTTCCGGGATGAAAATAGACAAAGTGCACAAAATTTATTAGATTACTGTCCTCTCCCTCTCTCCCTCTGTCCACTGATGGAGATTCAGCACATGATGTTGTGACATTTATGCCACCTTCCCATTGCCATTACCGATACTGAATATCCTCTTTTTGCGATCAATATGGTAAGATTAATGCACGCAGGCCTGTAAACCAAGCTGCCCAGTCGCTTCCCCTGACAGAACTTTGGGCAGTGGACAGCCCCGCTGTTAACATATTGTCCCTGCCAAATTATTTCAGAGACATTTTGGAAAATGGAGATTCTTCTGTATTGGAGACAGTTGTTCCAAGAATGTGATAGCTTTCATGTACTTTAAGACGCTTTTGTGAGCCATCACATTAACTTTTTCCTTAATGTTTCAACTTTGACATAATGTTTAATGACATAGTGCTGACAGCCTAAATGTGCTCTGATATCTCAGTATTAAGTTGAGGCATAACCAGTGCATGGTTAAGTACTGTATCTTGAACAGTTCAGGCAGCAATTTGTCGGTATTTGACATTTGCTGTTACAAGTTTGATAAATGCACTAAGAAAGGAATATAAGTAAGAGGAATAAAACAGAACTATTTTTTTATGTATCAATGTTTGAGGCTAAAGGAGTTTCAGGTCAGTAAGATGCATCAGTAACAAAAAGGGTGTTGGATGCAGTTCCCTGTTTCGACTTGTATCAATGTTCACATGTTTTTTTAAGGTGAACAATTGACTGCACGACAGGTCTGCAGCATATGCTCACCTTTTGGCAAATACAGGTTATCATCACTATTTGATATTGTTTCATTAACACATGCATATGATATAGTAGGAATCGTACAATGGACTCTACAATTTTAGAGATTTCTTATGATTATGGAAATGGTTTTGGGCACTTTATTTGTTTGTTTACCCAAACTGGGGCTGTTGTACAAAATGGGTACAATTTTGATACAATCTGTGATACAGTTAAATTATTGTCACATGAAAACCTATCTGGCACCATAAGTATTTAACAGTTCTCTTTTTGTACCAGCAACTTTGACACAGCCAGACTACCTTTGTTTAGGGGAATGTAGATAGTAATATGTTAGTCTTCAAGGTTCATTCATATTTCCAGGGTCACTGTAGGTACTATTGCAATGGATATTACCCAGAAGAGTTGAAATATGGAGTGTAATCTTTTCCAAAATTTCACTTGTGAATATTAGCAAGTTTCTTAGGTTACTGGTCAGTTGAATACAAATGTCATTGCAAGAGAATAACCAGTCTTGATTATTCAGTGATAATACTTGGGCATAATTTAAGGGCAAAATAGCTGTTAAAACTATATGAACCCATCACTGATAATCAGTGATGACACCAGGTATTTGCAAAAAAAGGGTAAACATGTACCTACTGGTAGCAATGTGTTGACATGTTGCTGCAATGAAATGACGCCTTTAAATCAATAGGTTGGCTTTAGCTAAGATTTTGTACCCTTTTCTGTATGTTGTTTCTTAACATGCTTAAGATGCAAATGAATAATATGTAAAATAACCTAACTTTTCACAACTAAGAAATAAAGATACTCAGTCTCCCATTCAGGCATTTCCATCCTAGGTTGGATTTCCATATTTTTGATTAGGGTCTTTTGATGTCTAACATGCATCCTTGGAAGGTGTGCACCATTCTTTATTTTGCCTTCCTCAGCAAAGAAGTCATTTTTGTCAATCATCAATCAAATGCCTGCCCATTTTACCTTAAACATACTGCATTTGTCTGGCAGTACCTTGAGACATACATGTGAACGGATTCATTGATAGATTCCTACCAGGAGTGGAAGCTGTTCACAATGCAGGGTTCATTTTGACACATTGATTATCAATGAAACTGTTGCAGCCAGCGGCCATCAACCTGTGTTATTGTGTCTGGCGTATATCTGGAGCAGCATCCCAATCCCAGTGAGGGCAACAGTGGGGTGCCTCTGCCTGCATACATCTGACCAGGGAACTATTGGTCTATAGTCAGATCATCTGCCTGCATACATCTGACCAGGAAACTATTGGTGTATAGTCAGATCATCTTCCTACATATATCTGACAAGGAAGCTATTGGTGTTAGTCAGATCATCTTCCTACATATATCTGACCAGGAAACTATTGGTGTATAGTCAGATCATCTTCCTACATATATCTGACCAGGAAACTTGGTGTATAGTCAGATCATCTTCCTACATACATCTGACCAGGAAACTATTGGTGTATAGTCAGATCATCTTCCTACATATATCTGACCAAGAAACTATTGGTGTATAGTCAGATCATCTGCCTGCATACATCTGACCAGGAAACTATTGGTGTATAGTCAGATCATCTTCCTACATACATCTGACCAGGAAACTATTGGTGTATAGTCAGATCATCTGCCTGCATACATCTGACCAGGAAACTATTGGTGTATATTCAGATCATCTTCCTACATATATCTGACAAGGAAACTATTGGTGTATAGTCAGATCATCTTCCTACATATATCTGACCAGGAAACTATTGGTGTATAGTCAGATCATCTTCCTACATACATCTGACCAGGAAACCATTGGTGTATAGTCAGATCATCTGCCTGCATACATCTGACCAGGAAACTATTGGTGTATAGTCAGATCATCTTCCTACATATATCTGACCAGGAAACTATTGGTGTATAGTCAGATCATCTTCCTACATATATCTGACAGGAAACTATTGGTGTATAGTCAGATCATCTTCCTACATATATCTGACCAGGAAACTATTGGTGTATAGTCAGATAATCTGCCTGCATACATCTGACCAGGAAACTATTGGTGTATAGTCAGATCATCTTCCTGCATACATCTGACCAGAAAACTATTGGTGTATCGTCAGATCATCTTCCTACATACATCTGACCAGGAAACTATTGGTGTATAGTTAGATCATCTTCCTGCATACATCTGACCAGGAAACTATTGGTGTATAGTTAGATCATCTTCCTACATACATCTGACCAGGAAACTATTGGTGTATAGTCAGATCATCTTCCTACATACATCTGACCAGGAAACTATTGGTGTATAGTTAGATCATCTTCCTACATACATCTGACCAGGAAACTATTGGTGTATAGTTAGATCATCTTCCTGCATACATCTGACCAGGAAACTATTGGTGTATAGTTAGATCATCTTCCTGCATACATCTGAAAAGGAAACTATTGGTGTATGGTCAGATCATCTTCCTACATATATCTGATCAGGAAACTATTGGTGTATGGTCAGATCATCTTCCTGCATACATCTGAAAAGGAAACTATTGGTGTATGGTCAGATCATCTTCCTACATACATCTGACCAGGAAACTATTGGTGTATAGTCAGATCATCTTCCTACATACATCTGACCAAGAAACTATTGGTGTATAGTCAGATCATCTTCCTACATACATCTGACCAGGAAACTATTGGTGTATGGTCAGATCATCTTCCTACATACATCTGACCAGGAAACTATTGGTGTATAGTCAGATCATCTTCCTACATACATCTGACCAGGAAACTATTGGTGTATAGTCAGATCATCTTCCTACATACATCTGACCAGGAAACTATTGGTGTATAGTCAGATCATCTTCCTACATACATCTGACCAGGAAACTATTGGTGTATAGTCAGATCATC